TCAATGTTTATCTGTGTTTCTTAATATTTGCTTTTAAAATAAGAAATTGAGTAATGTATAGTACAAAAATTTGAATTATAATCTACAATTTGATACTAAAGTTATTGACATAAATTCATGATATAGTAGTTCAATAAAATTTTAAATGCGAGTTAACAAATGAGATGACATGACCTGTTTCAAAATGGCTAAGATGAAGAGTTTGGAAAGAGCTTCCTGACTTAGCTTACAATTATTGATTTATTAGAACTTAAAACTAGTGCAAAATGTGATCTAATTTTTGCATTTACATCCAAGATCCATTTTTGCCTAAAAAAAGTAGCTTAGTTTGGTTATAGATTAATTTGAAAACAGTGTTTGGGAACATGTACAGGATAATCTTTGTTTTAGTGTTAAGTGTGATATCACATTTGTGATTCAATTTCCTACCCCCCATGAAGAAAGAGTATTCCCCTTCAAACTTCCCAAAATTTACCACATTTCAGATAATTAATGAGATACCAAAATGTGTATCTTTTTTTTTTTATATTTTTATTATATACATAAAAGTAAATGTGCCAGTTGGAAAGTTGTTTATAAACTTTGCAGTGAAAGGGTCAAGAGTATTGAAGGCTAGGTCTGCCAATAATGTAAACTTAAATTAACTATTGCTTCTTTAGATTTGGAATGTCCATAGTGTCTTAAACGTTCTGCATTCCTTAGTGGATAAATCAAACATCAACCGACAGCTCGAAGTGTACACTAGTGGAGGTGAGTACTTTATTTACATATTCATTTTAATGGTTTATAGTGAGGATTATAAGGTTTTGTGATCCATCTTGTCTGTTCTATCCACTAAATTAAACTAAAACAACGCCAACTCGTATCATTCAAATGTTTATCAAACTTTCCTTTAAATTCATATTAACTGCATCTACCACATCTGAAAGCAATCTGTTTCGAAGGCCAACTACCCTGTTAGAAAAATAAAACTGTCTTAGCTGAAGATGATTCCTACCCTGCCAGAATTTATACTTGTGTCCTCTATTCTTATTGTTAAATATGAAAAACAAAAAGGCAGCAAGATTCCACCATCAAATATGACAAAAGTTAATGAATTAGCACGACTGATTTCCTTAACAATCTTGAACACCTACACCTGGATGGATATGATAGTACTTTGTAGTGTAGCTTATCAACTTCTATGCTTATTCTTATTTGCATGATTTAAAACAGACCTAATGAATATGTTTATTATCTACAGAGTGCCTCGGCTACTTAAAATAAATGATACATCACAAAGTTTTGAAACCCTTTCTTTTAACCTTCTTTTTGTAATTGTTTCTAACAAAGTGTAGTAGTAGCCATCATGTTCATCTCTGACAGTGACTGTACTTTAGATTCTGAATCTCTTTAATTCTTTACTAATTTTTATAATTGTTTTTACATTAATATAATTTAGAAAAAGTTTTGTCATTAAATTTTGTACATATTATTGTATTAGTTAACTTTATGATTATTGAGGCTAAAATTATTTTCCAAACTGTATATTTCTTGTGCTGAACATACGTGTCATAAAATAAAATATATTTTACAGAAAGATGAATCAAACTTTGTACACTTAACAGATTTATTAATTATTATTGAAAAACATTCTGTTTCTTCTCAACTTATTTTATTGCATTCAACTCTCAGTTGATTTTTATAAATACTTAAAGAATTCATACCTTTATGCTTTACAATATAAATTTAGAGCTTAGTCTGAGACTGATTGAGAACACAAAATGCTAAAATATTAAAAGGTAATCATATTTTACACAGGAAAAATTGAAACATTAGAAACTGTTATATTTTACACAGAAAGAATGGTGAAATAGTAGAAATATAATCAAATTCTACACAAGAAAAATGTCTAAAAAATTAGAAATGTCATTTTCCACAAAGAGTTTTAAAACATTAAAAATAATCATATTTTATGCAGAGAAAAAAAGTTTGAAAAATTAGAAGTATAGCCATTTTACACAAATCCTGGAACACTAGTAATATAATGAAAATCTACACAGAAAAACCTCCTTAACTCTATTGCAATGTGCATCCCTTACTTAGCATGTCATAAGGTTTTTAATGAGTTACATCCAATATTTAACCAAACTACTTTTTGTTTATAATAACAATTAGTATAGCATAAAATCGTAGTTAATAATAATAATAGTATACAAGTTTTAAGTTCTTACTTTTTATGAGGCAATAAAAAAAATCATGAACTTTCTGTAGTATGAGAAATGCGATATTTTTTTCTCTAGGCATTCTCCCCTTCTCTAATTTATTCACCACCCCTCCAATAAATAGGAAATTTAACATAAATTATTCACTATAATATTGTCACCACTCAGGCAAAGCATAATTGTCCTAGTCTTCGATCTTGTTTGGTTATACAGCCATCAAATAGAAAATCACACCCACCTCTCACATCCTCTCTTTCAGGATTTGTTAATAGTTCTCTTTTATGTTTAATACTATATTATTTATAACCAATAGAATGCCAAGGTTTTCATCTATCAAATTATATATTATATTACGTTGTTTTCTGAACAGACAATTGTCAATTTCTCTTTTAGTACAAACTTCTTTCCCATGGGAAACATATCAACTAGCTTGGATGAATTTGTAACAGCTCTTGTCGGATAGTTAGAAAGCCAGAACAGTTGTGATAGTTACATAACATTGTCTGCTTTCTGCATGTTATTATTCTGTATTCTTTGGTGCATTATTTAATTAGATAAAAAATTTAGTGCACTACTATCATTACAATAGAAAAAAAGTAGGGTTAAATGTCATCAACAGTCAACCAAAAAAAGACGGTCCAGGTAAATACTTTATTTCTTGTTTTTCATGTGTATTCTTTATTATTATAAAAGTAACTAAAATGTAAAAATAGGAATATCTAGGTTAGGTATGCACACAAGCAGCATGTAATAGCTCATGGGTAACATAATTCGATAATGTAATGTGAGCCCCATGTTTGACAGTTTGACACAATTCAAAAGGCAATAAAACAATATAATTTAAGTATAGATAGATGTATACTATTACAAGTTTAAAGCTATTTAGGATAAACAAATGTAGTTTCATGTTACAATTTGAAATTATTCTAGAAAGAAGAAAGGGTAATTTCAATTTTCTTTTTGGTGGTTACAAGGTTGGTCATATTGACCAACCTTGTATAGAGGTAGGGTAGAGAAAATAACAGATAAGATATAAAGTTTCACTGAAAAAAAAACGTTTGAAATGTATTTAGGAGGTTTTAGATATTATGCAAATGAAATTTGATATTTTGGAGATGATGAAAAATGTTTTTTATCTTAACTCTTTCCACATGGGTTCAGTCGAATTGATCGACCACGTTACCACTTTGTACTCGTTTAAAATCATTATAGTTTTGGTACTACTAACTTTTAATATGGTATGTATATCTTCACAAATTTTGGCAGACTTTCAATAAACATTACAAGTCTTTTACATACAAAAAATCAGGTTTTTAAGTGAAGTATTTTTAATAAACTAAAAAAAAAGATTTATCTGTGATTATATCGAGTCTTTTTTTTTACTAGTCTGAGTGCAAAGTGATTTTTGTGTTAAGATGAAACATCTCAAATTTCATTATCATAATCTCTAATTACTAAAACCTCACATATACATTTCAAATGTTTTTTCAGTAAAACTTTATTCTTTATCTGCTATTTTCTCTACCCTAACTCTATATGGTGTTAGTCGAGTTGACCGTCCTTGTAACCATCAGAAATGTTAGGAAATCTAAATTACCCCTTTTTTTTGTTCTAGAATGACTGCAAATTGTAATAGGAAACCAGAAATGTTTATTCTAAATATCTTAATTCTAATAACAGTATGCATCAATTTATATTTATTAATTTTTGATTTATTGACCTTTGAACTGTGTGTAATTAGAACTACCCCAAGTTGAAAATTACACGGTGCACGCGCAGCTCACGTTACCTTATCGAATAGCGTAATGCACAAGTTGCTCGCTAGTATACCCCATTAAGATTATTGTTGTTATTTTTTTCCTTATCTTACCCAATAAGTTTCTATTTTTTATACATTTTAATTATTTTTATAATACTAAATAAAAGAAACATGAAAAATAAAAAAACTCTTTATTAAATATCAAACACTTTTCAGTAATGGTTTATATTTTATCTGTCATTTTTTTCTACTGTAACATTATGCTTGATTCTCCAGGTTATAAGACAAGTTATTAAAGTATAATGAAAATAAAGGTTTCAAAGTGCAAAATAAAATGTATAGTATTATTAGTATTGATCACAAAGTTTCAAAGGACTTAAGATCAAATCTTATGCTTCTCACACTTATTTTCTATAGTAATTTTATTGTTAGAGGCTGTCTTGGAAACTAGACATAATGAAACAGACAGACAATGGTATTCATTTTATACCATTGTCTGTCTGTTTCATTATGGATCACTAAATTCCAAAGTAAAACTCCTGAGAGTTTCTTCTATTCTTTTTACACCTATTTCCTATGTTTATTCTACTGTTAATGGCTCAAGTAGAAACCTGCCAAATATAAAGCAATGAATCATTGCTCCTTAGTTAGTTTGACATTATCAATATTAAAAAAGCTCATGCAGTGCAATTCCAAGAACTTTCCATTTTTTGAAAATACAGTGTGGTAGGATTTATCAACTTGTTGACAGTATAATGATTTCAATGATAATGTCTAAAGTATTATAAAATCTTTATATTATATTATGATTTTGTAGAAAGTCTGGGGAAAGAATTTACCGGCTTCTTTACAGTACATTGGTTGCAACAAGAATAAGAACAAGTACTTTATAAAAGTGAGAGAAAATATTTTTCAAATGGCTCTGTACAAAGTTGTATTCAATCCAATAAACTTGTTAAGTATTTGGATGTTAGTTAACCTCCTGGGTGGTTGGGATTTAGTGTTAGTGTAAGTGCTTATGAACATCCTGTTTCCTATATTACCATGCTTACACAGTAACCAATAGATGTGTAGTTTCCAGTAATATGAATACGATCCATTTTGGTTGAGCTAGTATTTTTGGCTTAGCCTTCTTGCTTATCAGTTTAGAAACAAATTATTCAGTGATTATTTTTTTGTTTGAATTTACAATAATATGTTCTAAAACTTCTCTATAATAAAACAAAGCACAAATCTCTTATTTTTAGTACTAGTGCAGTAACATTATGGTTTCCATACATTTTATATATATATAATTTTCAAATAAATACTTAAATGACAGTTATTTTTCTTAAAACATAGAACAGTAAGTAAAAAATATTTGGAAAACAATGATCTCCACTACTTACAATGCTACAAAGTTCTTGTTTGCAGTCTTGAGTCATACTTGCCAACCCTCATCGTAAGCCTCATCCAAATTCACATGTGGAGATGAAAAAAATAATAACTTTTGTAGACTTTATATATGCATTTTGGAATACCAAAAAAATATAAATAACTACACCGATACCCCAAAAAATGCACTGTAAATTACCAAGCTTCTTAACTAAATTGTATTTCGGTTTAAAAAAATATAATTTCTGTTTAGTAAGTAGCCTTGATTGTAATACTTCAAACTCTCCAACAATATAAGAGCTTTTCTCTCATAAATAACTTAAGAAGACTGACAGAATTATGTAGAGGAAATGTAGAGCTATCAATTGGTTATACAGTTATTGGTATACAAAAGTAGGTGTAGATAAACAAGTCTTCTCAAATGATGAAGTGGTAGGCAGAACCAATATGGCGATTCCTTAAATATTGAGATATCTCACAAATAGAAAATGTAGGAGGTTTTTATTTGTTATTCTAGTTTGCCAATATTGGAAATATAAATTTCTAATTCATAAGAAAGTATAGATGTTGTGTTGTGGGTGTTATAAAATGTAATCTGACCAAACCCAGAAGGTGACGTACCATGTGACACACAAAAATCGATATTTAACCTCTTTGTTTTTTTTTATATTTTATATTTGAATTTTAATCTACAATTTGATGTCAAACATATTGACATACATTTATAAACTAATATATGTCTACAAATGTGATGACTTGCCCTCTGACCCCTACCCATGTCCATAGGGTTACCATGAAAAATCACTTTGTACTCAGACTATACAAAAACAAAAACTTAATGTATTCATGAACAAATCTTTTTTTAGTTTATTAAAAAATACTTCACTAAAAAATCTGATTTTTTTTGTATGTAAAAGACTTGTAATATTAACTGAAAGTCTGCCAAATTTTGTGAAGATACACATGCTGTGTTAAAAGTTAGTATCAAAACTATATCGACTTTAAATTAGTACAAAGTTGTCGTGTTGTTAGTCAATTTGACCGAGCCCGTGTAGAGAGAGTTATGCATTAAAAATGTCATTTTACACAAACAGTAGTGATATTTTACATGGAGAAAAAATGTTGAAACATTTGAAATACGATCATTCTCTCCACAGAAAACAAAATATAGTTCACAAAAATATGAGGGTTCTGCTCATAAGTTATTTATTAATACACTGATACACGTTGGCCATGTTGTTACAATGTTAAAACTTCCTATTTCTTTCTATACTTATATTATGCCTTTTGTAATGTGCTCACCTTCGTGGGTTTATTTAGAAGTACGTGCCAATAGATACTTGAGATATCAGTGAAAAACAGAAATAATGTAAATTATTAAACAATTTTGTAGATTTCTAGACCCATTGCTTCTGTTCCAAATTGTAAAAACTTTAACTTGAATATTTCATATGATGTATATCATTACATAAAAATGTAATATTCTCCATTTATAATGTTGTATATTTTTTCTCAGGTGATCCAGACAGCGTGGCCGGTGAGTTTGGAAGACATCCACTCTACAAGATGCTTGGATACTTCAGCTTGGTTGGCTTACTGCGTTTGCATTCTCTACTTGGAGACTATTATCAAGCAATTAAAGTTCTGGAAAATATTGAGCTGAACAAAAAGGTATTCTAACATTTTTAAGATTCCTTGCTCATTTATCTCCTGCTGGTCAGAACTCTGTATCATATATTTGTGTAGTGGCATTGTTAAAGAAGAGCAATGTATATTCTACAAAATATTAATGTCCATGTAAGAAAACTAAATTTGAGACTTGTTTGAAAAACTAAAAGTGTTTAGTTTGTACTTAGTACAGCTATTTGAAATATGACTATATTTATTTATAAATAAATATTTTTTTTTTCTCAAAAATTCAAAAATTATCTTTCTGATACTGGCTAACATATTTTGAATGTATAGTTCCCTTCACTTCAATAGATAAACCTAGTTTCTGATTTTAAATTGTTTCATAAAATACTGACTATATACATATATTGTTGAAATATAATTCTTTGGAATTTATTTTTTAGATATATTGTATGATACAAACCTGATGTAAAGTAACCACATTAAAAAGAAAATTTTGCATGTCTGTCAGTATACAATAGGCACATAACACTCCTGAATACTTTGCTGTAACTAAAAGTGAAAAGTATTTTATAGTATTGCTGAGTGTGTTGCTATATCTAACAGCATAAAGTAACTATGTGACATCACTAGGTGAACAGTGAACCCTCGTTAGTCCGAACATTAACATTCCAGATAATTTTTCATATAGGTAAATCTTTATATTGAGAAATTTAATCAATCTGTTATTTCAAATTCTGAATCCAAATGGCTACTTCGTATCACAAATATATATTTCCTATGAATACATTATCCAGTATTCTCTATACGACTCAAAAAAAGTGAAGTACGGGTTGATCAGACCAGGAAGCGAGATGATAGTTACTGACCACAAAACACCTGCACTAACTAGTAGATACTAGTTTACAACAGCTTTTCTGAGAACAATCATCACAGTAAATATTCACATATAAATTATGACGGACATTGAGAGGTCAACAGAGTAACTTATACTACAGTCTTGTCAAGTGTCAGTGCTACAGAACAAGTGCATGTGGAAATATCAGTATTATTAAAACATGATGTTTGTTTATACAAGAAAGCAAATCCAATTGTAAAATTTGATATCATCAAAAGCATTTAAGTGTAGAAAGAAGTATTTGTATGGGCAAATCATCCGTATCTGACGTTTTTTGCAGCAAAGGAAAGTGGTTAAATATTCCTAAGGTGAATGTACTGCTGTATGTAACTTTAAAGTAACCACATATCACTGGTGAATGTACAGCTGTATGTAACTGTAAAGTAACCACATAACACTGGTAAATGCACTGCTGTATGTAACTGTAAAGTAACCACATAACACTGGTGAATGTACTGCTGTATTTAACTGTAAAGTAACCACATGACAATGGTGACTGTACTGCTGTATGTAACTGTAAAGTAACCACGTGACAATGGTGAATGTACTGCTGTATTTAACTGTAAAGTAACCACATGACAATGGTGACTGTACTGCTGTATGTAACTGTAAAGTAACCACGTGACACTGGTAAATGCACTGCTGTATGTAACTGTAAAGTAACCACATGACAATGGTGAATGTACTGCTGTATGTAACTGTAAAGTAACCACATGACACTGGTGAATGTACTGCTGTATGTAACTGTAAAGTAACCACATGACACTGGTGAATGCACTGCTGTATGTAACTGTAAAGTAACCACATGACACTGGTGAATGC